CCTGGTATAGATACAATACTTTTTTTTTTTTTGTCGGTCGTGGGGCTTGAACTCTGGGCCTGGGTGCTGTCCCTCAGCTCTTCAGCTCAAGACTAGTGCTCTACCACTTGAGCCACAGCGCTACTTCTGGTTTTCTGGTGGTTTATTGGAGATAAGAGTCTCACGGTCTTTCCTGCCTAGGCTGGTTTTGAACCATGATCCTTAGATCTCAGCTTCCTGAGTAGCTAGGATTACAGGAGTGAGCCACCAGCGCCCGGCTACAACAAAACTTGAAAGATTAAATGAATGAATCTATGATCTAGAAGACTGCAGGACAAGGTCTAGGATGGGTACAATCAGGTGGAGATAGAGATCCCTGGGCCCTGAGCTCCCTACGTTCTTAATGCTCCTTTCCCTCTCTACCAGCTCCAAGGATAGACGGGTTGGCAGAATTATTCTCACTTTATTTCTGGAGAAGTTTGATCAGATGCAATAACACTGATTCCAGGTGAGGGCAGGGGGCATGGTTACCCCTGAAGCAACCAGTATCCTGTGGCCCAAGGTGCCCCCCATTCCCAGACCTGAGTTCCCCCTCAGTTACAGTTAAATAGAGGGAGGAAGATCTCCCCAGGAAGCCTTGGGAGGAAGGTCTGCCTCCCACCCCCTCCACGCTGAGGCGTCTGAGCACAAGCTATTTACAGTATTCACATCCACTGTACCCCACCAAACCAAGGCAATACTACAGGTGGCCCTTCCCCAGGGGGAGGCCAGAAAGGCTGTGAGTGTATGTGTGTGTAGGGGGAGAGGTGACCGCGCGTGTGAGCACACGAATGCACTGAGGGGCAGGGTCTGGCTCCAGCCAAAGACACATCAGTCTATAAGGTGCAGATTAAAAACAACAGAGAGGACCCACCCCCAGGGGCCTAGGCCACTTCCATCTTTGCTCTGTCTCTTTCTTCTGCAGACATCTGGGTAGACGATGCAGAGGAGCCTTCATAGCCGCACCTGGATCCAAGGCAACTGCTTAAAGGACTTCTGAGGGAGAAGAAAGGAAAGACATCAGGCAAAGCCTGCCTTCAAGGCTAGGCTGTAGCGTTCCCATGGCGAAGCAAGAGAAGGCTTCTGGCAGGAAGGGAGGAAAAGGGCAGGGCTGGGGAGGATACTGCTGGGTCCAGGAGCCAGGGGACCCCACCTGTGACCTGAGGAGGCTGCACCACAGCTTTCTTGAGAAAGGCTTCTGCCTCTGCAAAGGGCAGGAGTGCCTCTGGTGTTCGGCCCAGACTCTTGTCCCCAGAAGGTCCCTTAGGGGAGAAGCCGTTTTCCTGGTGTGCTGGGAGAGGCTGCAGACCATTTACCAGGGATCCTGGCAGCTCCTTGCTTGGCAGGCTGTGGGTGCAGAGCCCATAGTTAGCGGCTTGCCTCCCTGTAAAATGTAGGCCACCCCCACCTACTCCACAACTCCAGGCTGAGGCTGCCTCACTGCCCAAGTCCCGGGGGTTGGGAGTTGATACCTCCACTGTGGCTCCTGGGGGGCCAGCTCCTCTTTCTGCATAGTGTCCTTGTGCAGGCCTGAGGACCTAGCCTCCACAACTTTCTCTGGGTCTGTCACAGGAAAGAACAATAGTCAGAATTCAGGTACTGGTGAGGAGTGAGGCTGGAGGAGCAGGGGATGGAGATGAAGGGAACAGAGGCTTTACCTGGGCTGGAATTGTTAGCTGCTGCCTCCTTTCTGTCCTGCTTCTGCTTTGAAGAGGAAGAGCAGTCAGGCTCAAGGGCTATCTAACCACCTCATGGTGGTACTGAACTCTTCTCTCTTTCAGTCCAGACCTGAGCAGCCTCCTGCCTTGGCTCTGGATGGCTTTTCGAAGCCTCTTTTCCTCACTCAACCTCCCATCCCATACCCAACCTGGGAGACCTGACCTTGGTTTCAGCAGCTTCCGACTTCCGAGTCCTCTTCATTATCTCCTCGAGGCGCTGTTTGGAGGCCCCATATCAGTTAGGTTCAAAGCCTTCCCTAATCCTAAACCTCCCAACCGCTGGTCCTGATGCTGAGCTCAGTGCCTTCCCAGCTTATACAAGCCCAAGGCGGCCAGGAACCAGAACCTGCTCCAGCTCCTTCACTTTACAAGCTCCAGGCTGGGCCCGCTATTCATGCATGGTCTTTATCCTGTCTCAGGAAAAGGAGAAAGATCCAGGCCAGATACAGCCCTCCCCCCTCCCAGTGCTGGGCCCTGCCCACAAAACCCCATCCTCTGTTTTGCTCACCTTTTTGCGTTCCTGCCGCTCCTGCTCCTCCCGCTGGAAGTGCTTTTCCCGCTCAAGACGCTGTCTCTCGGCTTCTTCCCGAGACCGGGCTTCAGCTTCCTCTTTCTGCCAAAGACCTCTATGAGCTCTGGGCAGCTGGCTCCAGCCCTCCCTCTGGGCCTGTCCGACGCCTGCCTGCGTACCTGCTTCTGCAGCCGTTCCTGCTCTTCCTGCTCAGCCTGTGCCTTCTCTCGGGCCTCCTGCTCCTCCCGCCTCCGGGCCTCGGCTTCTCGCTCAGCCCGAGCCTCAGCCTCTCGTGCCAGCTGCTCTTCCCGCATTCGCCTGGAAAACACGGGTGGGCAGGAAATTCAGGCACAGTCTGCTCCTCTTCTTCAGACCCTAGAAATGCTGCCCAATCTGGGAAGGTAAACTCACTTGTCCCTTTCAGCCTGTAGTCTCCTCTCCTGTTCCTCCCGCTCCCGCTGTTCCCGAGCCTGACGCCGCTTTTCAGCAAGGAGACGAGTGGCCTCTTCTCTGTCTGTGGTGCCCGCCATGGGTTTGCTAGGGGTCACCGGTGGAGCAGGGGCTGGGGATGAGATCAGGACAGGAATCTCTGGAGGAGGATCCAGGATCAGTTAGTAGTCACCACCAGTACAAGCAGACACTTCTACCATTCTTGCTTCCTGGATGTCAGGGTAACCTATTTACTCCATAGCTGCTATCCCTCAGTGTGGCCTGTGTTCCGAGGGCCAGACCAGCTGTGTACTGAGCCACCTTCTTTCCTGACTCCCAACGCCCAGTCTCCAGGCATCTGTGATAACCCATACCCCTGACTACCTCCTCCTGGACCAAGGCAAAGCTAGCTTCTCTGCTGTGCCCACCACGTCTTCATCCTCACCTGCAGGGATCTCCGCCGTGGGCTGCTCCTTCTGGGGCTGGGCTGGGGTGGGTGAGGGCACGGGTGAGGGTGCTGGTGAGGCTGGGCCTGCGGGATCCTTCTCATCGCTGGCCCTGCCCTTGTCCTGGTTCTTGTCCTGAGCCCCTGCTGGGCTGGGGCTCTCCTTTGCCTCCTCCTTCCTCCGAACTCGCCGCTTGGGTGATGCAGTGGTGCCTCGGGGGGATGGAGGTTTTGGAGGCAGAGTGTGGCCAGGCCCAGGGCTAAGGCAAGGAGAGGCAGGCCTAGGCCAGGATGTGGAGGGAGAGGACGTCCGGGCCTTCGACTTAGGGCTAAAAGAGAAAGTTACAATTGGAGCACATAGAGCACAGAGCACTGTGTGCGTGTGCGCATGCACACACACACACACACTGAGCATGTCTCTCAGGAAGTGCCCCCTCCCCCAGGCTAGGTCAGCAACTCCCCTCCCACCTCTTCACCTCACAAGATTCAGTGTAAATAGGCCAGTTTACAATTATATATTCATTTACGATGGTCTTTGATTCGTGTCTCTCCAATAGCCTATACACTTTTTTTTTTTTTGGTCAGTCGTGGGCCTGAACTCTGGGCCTGGGTGCTGTCCCTCAGCTCTTCAGCTCAAGGCTAGCACTCTACCACTTGTGCCACAGTGCCACTTCCGGTTTTTTCTGCTTATGTGGTGCTGAGGAATCGAACCCAGGGCCTCATACTTGCAAGGCAAACACTTTATCACTGAGCCACCTTCCCAGCCCCCTAGCCTATACACTTAAGAGCAAAACTGGCCCAGCCCTGGGTTAGCTCACTAAAGTGTCTTAATCGCCAGGAACACTACTCAGCATTCATTCATTCAGCAAGTATACTGAGTGCTTATTAGGTGCTAGACACTTTAAAATGTGGAGACACTTCTATTATCAAAACATGATAAAGATAAAGGAAAAGAGGAGAGAAACAGAGAAAAGAAGGGAGGAAAAGAAAGAAGAAAAAAAAGACAGTCTAGGAATGATGGTTAATGCCTAAAATCCTAGCTGTCAAGAGGCTGAGATGGGGGGGGGGTCTTGAGTCTCGGTCCAGCATGGGCTACATAGTGAGAACTTGGCTCAAAAGGAGAGAGTAAGGGGAAGAAGAGGAGGAGGACAAAGCAGTAGTAGAGGATGAAGAGGGGAAAGGAGGAGGGAAGGACACAAGGAGAAAAGGAGGGAGAAAAAAGGAAGTGTGGAGGAAGCAGAAAGAAGGCTGAGGAGGGAGAGAGGGAGGGGATGAGAAGAGAAAGGAGAGGGAGAGACAAAGACTGAGAGCACTGACTGAAAAGGGAGCGGTCCCCCTCGCTGTCAGGTGGCCCACCTGGGCTGGGAGACGGCGCCTGTGGAGAGGCGCGGGCGCACGGAGGCAGGGAGGGACTGGCGCTTCTTAAGGCTGCGCTCCCGGGCTAGGGCGCTTTTTTCCTTCTCGTTTTCCCGCTCCTTATCCTTCTTCTCTTTCTTCTGCACCTGGCGGTGGAGAGGGGCCAGGGTGGGGAGCAGAGGTCAGTGGCGCCCACGCCCCTGGGCCCAGGCCTGTGGTCCCAACCGTGCGCCCTGCGCCCACTCACCGGCGAGGCTTCCGGCCGGCGGCGAGCCAAAGCGGGGCTGCCGCCTGCGCCGGG